AGGATACAGCAAAAACCTTCACACCTGCCTCTGTTTTTGCTAAGTTCTTACCTTTCCTCAGTCTACATGGACATTGAAGCAGGTGATAAATCCGAGACTGGTGTCAAGTTAGCAAATACTTTGTCATACTCAGAGGGGCAGGGTCTCTGGGCTTAAGAAGTTAAACACACTGTTGCTTATAGGCAGAACTGTTCTTGTCCTAAGGAAGTTTGTAAAGTTTTATCCAAGCTGGAAAAAGCCTCAGGAGCAAACATATAGAAGTTGTTACATTGGCACTCAAATAAGAGTTAGCTCTGAAATGATCTGCATTATTGCTGGGGGGTGGGGGGGAAGGAAAAACCTACAGATCATTAATCTTTGCAACTGACACCATATAAACTAGGTAAGAAACTATCTTAACAAGTAAGGCCAATATCAGTATTAAGATAGAAACTAGGAACAGTGGCACTTTTTAATATTGTAGCACTGTGGAAAGGAAGCCTAAAGGCTCCAGGATGAGAAAAGATGTTACTGGAAAAATGTAAAAATGGCATCAACACAGGAGACTAAAATTTTTTTCACTTTATTTAAAGTTTGCTGAAAACCAGTCAGAAGGTATAACTGACTTAATTTCATAAAAACGTATTTCCACCAAGCCTGCCTGAGCAAATGGCATTTTCCTACACAAGTGTCTGTAATGGACCTATGTCAAGATGCCAGCACACTTTTGGCAACATTGACTGCAGTAGGTGATTAGAATTTATGCTGTGTAAAATTAACTTTTAGATTAAATGGAAATCATGAACCAAAATGCAAAAGCATTTATATGGCAATTTACTTACACCGTTTGTTTAAGAAGTGTCAAGGCAAGTGAAAAGTAACACAGTGCTTTGAAGAGTTCACAGTCTAATAGCTCTGGCTATTCCAGTAGCCTCCCTTCCAGCCCCACAGCTCTGCCTCTCCAGAAACCCAGGGTGTATATTATATATGCAGTCACTGACACACTGAACTACCTCCATTTCTTAAAGATCAACTGAAAAACAGTAAGGGAAAAATAGAAAACATATCTAAAAAAAAATAAATATGGAAAATATAGAAAACCACTCTTCTTGATCAGATCTCAAGAAAAGAACACATTCTGCTAGTCAGTATTTTTTCAGTTTTATTAATAATTTTTCTGAACAGAACACTGCCACTCCAGATCTACATTTTAGTTGAATTCTGCAACCTAAACCAACATTCTGATAGTAACAATGCCTATTTCCAGGTTTTGCAGAATGAGGTTCTAAAAGTTATGATAAAATGAAACATAAATATACTTCTGTTCTTACTGACAAGTCACCAACACAAATACCTTCCAAACTCTTGCATGCTGCTTGGTGCATAAAGCTGTCAAGCATGAGGTTTTACATTCTTTCAAAATAAATTGTTTTGTCTGATCTAACATTCCTGTTCATGTTCTCATATATGTAGATCTCAAATTGGTTTTTTTTCATTCTACTAAGCCTCTGGTTTCAATATTATCTGAGGACAGAGTTTGCAGTTGTGCATTTCCTAAAAAGCATTTTGTGTTACCGATTTTAAATGTGTTGCCTTTAATTTTTATCTTTTTGTCTGTAACCTTGCAAAAATTACCTGTTATTTACCCGTGGTTTCCACATACTGACTTCTGAAATAAACAATCCCAAACATACTTCATATGCTCTTGACCATTCACCACCCACTTATCTCTTAAATGAGCTACCTTTTTCTTGATAATCTAGAGTTTTGATAAGTCTGATTATGATGATACTGTGTTAAGCATTCCCTTACCACCACTTTTTGAACATTCATGTTGCTCTGTGACTTCTGATACCCATTGAACAAAAGTTTCACTGCACTAGCCACAGAATTTCTCCTGAGAGTAAGTAAACTGCTATTATTCTCCTCAGTACCTACTTTGGTTTGTGAACATCGGCCATTTTTTAAGTTCTGCTATGGTCCACTGCATCTCCACAAAGGTCTAAGTCCAGCATAACCTATGTAGCACAATTTCCACCTCTTTTGCTACCTGATCAAGTGTTCTCTTTTTAAATTTATTTGCTAAGTGTTAATCAGCAGTCCCAGAAGAGCTCTGGCATAATTATCAGTCTCTACAACTTTTGATGCTTGGCATTTATTCCTGTTCTCCCCCCATCTTATCTAATTTCCAGTGCTTCACAGTTCACCATACTGCATGTTTTATTTTTATAGTAGCAGGTTCTCAGAGAACTTGTGAACATACAAGTAAAAAAAAAATAATTCTATCAGACTGCTAGCATTTTTAAAAAATTATTCTAGCTGATTAAAGGGCAGGTTTTGATCTCTTTTCTCTTTTTTCTCTCAAAAATTTTACTATACTATTGAATTTATTTTTTTTTAATTCAACTTACGACTTTATCCAGTTATCTATTCACTTCAGAATGTTTGGCTTCGTTTCATAGGTTTTTCACCCTTACACTTCTGTTTTATGATACAGCAACTGTTGCCCATTTATGAAAATAATACTTTATTTTTAAACTTCAAGGCTTCTGGCTGAATTCCACATGGATTTGCTGATGTAACAGTTTATCTTAATTTTGTAAATTTAAGCATTCTCTTTTTTTTGAATCTAAAAAAATATTTTTTTAACACATTAAAGTATGTTTCAGCATCCTCTGTGGTGAGAACTGTAGAAGTACAATGGTAGTTTTGCACTGAAGTCCTTGATCCTCTTTAATCAGGAGCATTTTCTCAGAAAAATCACTTCAAACATTTAAAAGTAATTTTAGATATGAAAATGAAAGCAGGACTATTTGCAAAAAGACACACTTCTCCTGCTTTATGAAGTGATACCTTTGCTTACTTATGTTACAGCATTGTGAAGCTGATTTTATTTGAAACAGTGAGCTAGCTTCTCCCTACTGCGAGCCCCTCACGGAGCAGAAAGAAAATAAATCCATCTGAAAAGAGCAAAATATGATGGCAAAAATCACAGCACTGAGAGAACTACAAGTCATTTAATTCATTAACTCCTCTGTATTCTTTGGACACGTCATTTCTGTTCACATATTTGATTTGCTGTGTCAGTCCCTCTCTTAGGTTTTGTTTTTTACATTCTACATGTAAAATTGCAAATAAAACATCTTTTTTAGTACCTTCCTATTGGTTGAACTTTATTTAGTAAAGAATACTTCCCAAAATGAGCCTTACATCTTTATTTTTCATTCTGGTCCTGTCAAGTATTTCCTTTTTTGTTCAGAGAAAACCGATTCTTTTTTAATATATAATTTTAGCAGAGATACTTTTGTGTGGAGCTCCCTCCACACACGCTGTTCCTCTGGCAAAGTATCAGAGGAATAAGGTAATTTTTGTCACCACCAATTAAAAAGTTTTTACGAAACAGGACCGTTATAAAACAATTAAACCTTGCAAATGCAGTAGTCTCTAGGAGGGAAACCCTGGAGGAAATTCTGCTTATTAAAATTGCAATTTTAGTTTCCATTAAAACGGAGAATAAGACAACAGAAGATGGGCTGGCAAGACAAATTATTTCTTAATGTCAGTTGAGCTTGTTTCAAATGAGATAACGTATCTACACCAGGTTGGGTTCAACACATTTTTGCCTCCTCAACTCATTTATCTAATTCAGTCATCTTGATTATAGCCTCATGGACCTTCAATTTTAGAGTAAGAATTTTGTAACAAACAACCTACACAACATGCTGATTACTGAATCGTTAATTCTAATTAACTTGGCTATGGCAAGAGAATTTTTATAAAGTCCTAGAATGCAAACACAGTTTGGTTACTCTGGCCAAACTTCCATAAAATAAAAATCCACAGCAGCCTCCAGATGAGACAGAGTGATGGAGATCTAATTTAAAGAAACAAATGAGAAAATTAAAATCACAAATAATTTATTCTTCCGTTAGAATTGGAGTACAGTTTTAAATAGCAATGAAGTACACAGTGGTAGAAAATTGGCACAGAACCTACAAGCATTTCATTCACAATAATATTCCTCATGCCGTATCTGTTCTAACCTTGATGTATATTTTCTACTGGTTTTAAGGAAACTGTTTTGCATTTTAAAGTGAGCAAATTGAAAATCTTGTCTCCTATGTGCATTGTCATACATATTATGAACACCAGTTTTTTTTTTCCCCCTCAAACCTGATCTTCAACGGAAAAAAACCCAAACAAAACACAAACAGATTTTACACCTGGGCTAATTTTAAGTTTTGTCCTTTCTAGAAGTTGCCAGAAATTCTTGAATGCATATATTCCTGCACAGCAGAATATCCACGTATCTGATGTACAGTTGTAGCACAGTCTCAAAATTAATTTTTTTGTGTACTATGCTATTGGATCAAGGTGCTGCCTCTATCTCACATGCAACACTATAAGCATTAATGCAGTTCAAAACAAAATTTGGCATTTACCTCACCAACAGGTTTTATATTTGACGTCATAAAACATCCCTTGGTCTCATGTTAACCAATAAGAAAAATGGACACACACAAAAAATGCCACCATTCTAAAGATAGTAACTCCCAGTTAGGAAAGTTTAGATAGGTTTTACAAAGTCTTCTAGGCTATTTTGATACATACAAATTATTAAACTAAAGGTTAAAATACACTTACACAATACAGTCCTGTCCTCCCCATTCTTTTTCAAGTCCTTTGTATATTCAAGTCAAGTGAAATTAACATTTGCCGTTTTCTTTGTTATTGCAATTATTAAGAGGGATTACAGCTTGCTTAGGCAAAGCTGTGACAAAACACTTGAGAAATGAAACCCAAACACTTATGTTATTACCCAAAAAATGCTGCAGAAAATTGCCAAACTATGTTAGAAACAATTTTTACAAAAATGCTTCAGTCAGAAAAACAAAAAAGCTTAAAAAAATTAATCTTTGCACAAGACTGTATTATACTGTCATTAATTATGTTCCCATTTAGATAACTGGGATTCTTCTTTGTACATGAAGCTATCAGTGATGCATGATGCTCTCCATCTTTTTTTACTATTATCTTTATTGTACACCATTTCGAGACTTATACAATCAATCACTTATTCATGCCCCTACTCCTTTTTAACAGTATATTTCTTATCCTGCCCCATGAATAGCGTGCTGTCTTGCATATTCATCACATGAAAAACATAATATACAAAATATTGCTGCTGTAAAAAGTGTGCATTTCCCCTTTTCCCCTACAAAAAAAATCTGTGGAAAAAATATTAAATTCCCATAACCTTCATAAACATACAAAGCTGTTCGCACCTTTCAGTATGTAACAGTCTCATTTGACATACAGTTCTCAACTCACTGCAAATTGTTATGTCACGTATTTTCTGTCCAATATTGCCATCTAGAGTAGAGATGTGAAACCAGTTTCTGAGAATCTACAGTCTTTAACAATTAACCCTTAAAGACTGTATACTATAAAACAGCCACAAGATTTTTCCAAAATCTAGATGGAATGGGAAGGCTCTCATCTCAGGAAGATGTCCACAGTGCTGAGGAGACAATATGGCTGCTAGTAGATATTGCCTACCGGAATGTGAGTACTTTTTCACTGCTGATAGTTTCCGTACTGACCCTAAAAAAAAATGAATTCAAAATACATAATTAGACCACAAAGGGTATTTTCCTGTATGAAAAGCTGAAGCCATTAAGTCCATCCAAATAAACTATGATGTTAAAGGGTGGAAATAAATAACAATAAATGATAAATCAATATAAGGAAGTGGTACAGAGTTTCATCTCATTAAAAATCCACTGTGTTTTAATGTAAAAACAAGACTGAGAATTCGGATTTAAAGCCAGGAACCTTATTTGATCAGAAGAGTATATCTTTAAATTCAATTGACTCCTGTGAAATTTGCAGAGCAGTGTCAAAAACAAAAGATGGGAATGACTTGCCACCTAACTTTGAAAACAGTTTCAAAAAGTCAAGGTCATCTAAATTCAAAGTAATTCAGTAAACTCATCTGCTTTCAGAGATACCTAAAAATATTCATGTATCAAGCATCACAGAATGGATTGATGTGTATCTCAAAAAATTTCAAGGCACATCCCAGTGAACATGAAGAGCCAGTGAACATATCCTACAGGAACAAACTATTCCATAGATCCTATACATAGAATTATTACCTTTATTGATATTCTCTATTTGTTTTGACAATGTCATGTACTGCAGAGGTGGGAAGAGGTGAAAGCATCAATGCCACATGCTTATTGTGATCCTTCACAACCAAGTTGAAGGCTTGCAGAAACAAGTAGAGTGCTACCAAGTGAACATACTCCAGACTGCAGACCCACCACCATTTCATGTTGTCACCATGATAAGGCAGGACTTGAAATTCCAGTTTTATGTTTCAATATCAGGTTTTTTTCATTGTAATATGACAATCAGTCAGGAAGAAGAGTTTCAGAGCAGCTGCCAGACGAGAATTTAAGCAGCACAATTTCTGTGGCAATGGCTAGCATGAAAGAGTGGACAGGTTGTCTATAATTGAACTTTCCAGTGGAACTCAGATTGCACAAACTGGAGTAGAGCCTGTCTACAGAGAGGGTTATCCACTTCTACTGTGAAGAAAGCTGGAAGACACTCAGCAAACCGATTAAGTTTCCTTGACTCTATACTTGCTACAAGCAAAGCATTTTCCTGTAGCTGATTATTATTTGCAGGAGGAATCTATTATTTCAGTGCATGAGCATTTTGTTTACTTCTTAAGTAATTAGAAGCAATTGCACCTATAAACTACCACACTGAAAAAGAGTTTGTTCCTTCCTTGTCTTTTCTAATTTCTGTAGAAAAAACAGGCAACTGTGGCTATCCTCACTTGTTGGAAGTCTGACTTACCTTCTACTGACACATCAGAGTTTTATTTAAACACTAGAACCTCAACTTGATCATAAGATACATTTAGTTACTCTCCATTTTATCGTGCTGAGCAGAGCAACAGTGTACATTTTTATGACAATTCTGGATGTTTCATATTGCAAAAATTAAGTTTTTACAGCTTAATACCTTCTACAGGAATAAAACCTCTGCTTCATCCTTTAATTAGAAGATAGTATCTTTACAGGAGTTCTCCACTACATTTCCAGCCTAGAGCTTTGGTGGGTCTAGTTTGTTTTCTTAGTAGTCATAGGAAAGAAGCAGTGGATTTTCCAGGTGAGTTCTTTCCCATGTTCAGTGTTCTTTTATATTGCTCAAAAGAAAATCAACGCCAAATTCAGCTTCATGTCTCCACTACACAGCTCTACAGCAGAGGGACTTCAGTTGCACACCAGAGTTGGTTCTGCCACTGCAGAGGAGGATTACTGGATCTGTACACCAGGAGATTTAGGAACATAATCTTTCATATTGATCATTCTCCATCAGATTACAAAGCAGATTTCCTTAATTTTTAAGGTCCAAAATTATTGTCTGGAGTGCCTCACTTTGACAAACTGCATTAAAACTTTTCAAACCCAGAACAGAATGACTAACCACTCTACACAAATTATTCTGGGTAACTCACCTGAAAGTAGAATCCATGAGAATTATACATACACACCTGAGAAACCACACCCTCAGATGAATTTGCTTAAATGTCTGCAAAAATCTAGGATTATCAAATGAGTGCGTAAGAACCACAACTTTCTCATTAAATGAAAGAATACCTGGTCATATCCATAAGGCCTCTGCTGTGGTGGTTGTGGTGGCCCAGGCTGCGTGGGTCTGTATCCCCCATACTGCTGGCCTTGTCCTTGTGGATAATTAGGATACTGAGGTCCTGGACCACTCTGAGAGGGGCCTGGAGATAATTAAAATGTAAACAAAAAATATTTCCTAAGGTGATAGCAAGAAGAGAACAGTAAAAGCGCTGAATTTTACAGCTGAGCAGGTAGTATCACTACTGTGCCATTGGTCTTTTCCTGTCTTAAGATATACAGGGGTCCTCTTCTTACCCTGGAAAGCACCTTAACCAACATATACTTTTATTTATATATTCACTATTTATTACCAATGCCTGTTCCACACAAGAGTTCACAGGACATGGAAGAACAAGGCAGGAAACAGTGAATCATAAACATGAGCACTTTCCAGGATTTAAGAAGGCACACTTTCCTTCTGCTGTATGCTGCTCCAGTTCCAGAACTTTACAATGGCAGGAGCAGCCAGCTGATCAGCTGCATTTAGCAATTCTCTTCTGAAGAGACCAGCAGCTCTGCACTGCCAGAAGTCAGTTTTCACACCAAAGCAGGCAATCGAGTCAGACAAGCGAGTTACACACATAAATTGTGAGATGTGACAACTAGTAAAATGCTATTGTTGGATGGGAAGAAGCACCCTCTACTCTATACTCCTTTGATCATCTTAACTTTCCAGGAAAAGGGTAACAAACAACAACAGCTTTGGCTCTAGCCTTTTAGCCTTTTTTTGGCTGTAGAAGGAAGTAGTTATTTTGTCAATACAAACTCTGTTACCATTCACAGGGACTCACAGCCTGTCTCCCACATTACTACCATGTTACAGTGCAGCCATGTTCCAAACAAAATTAATGTCATCCCCTCCTACCTTGGGAGAGATGGTGTACTGTGTTTTTCAGCGACACTGCATATGGATCACATGCAGTGGATCTAAGTTAGCTTTTTTAACACCACCTCTTAAAAAAAACTGGCAGTCAGGAAGATTTGCTACTCTTCAGAAGTGCTCTCTTAAAAAACAAACAAACAAAAACCAACAATAAACTAAAATCAAACACAACATTTTCAGCCTCACCCACCACAGATGTGGTTTAGCAGTAATATGAATCAGTGCTGGAGAGGGCTAGTTTTAGCTACAGGGACTAGACATCAGTTATCAGCTGATAACTCTTTCAGTAATTCTGGATCTATGAGACAGTCAAAAAACATGACCTGGATAAAAAAAGTTACATAGGCCATTATCATTCTCCTCATGCCTCAAATCCCCTTGCACAGTGAATTTTCAGCTTTCTACAGTGGAACAAAACCATAAAGATTGATAATAATGACTGGGATGCTGATTTATTTTTGCAAATTAGAAAGCAATTAAATATTAAATCGAGCAAGGATACTACATCTTAAGTACTGCTGTGTTCATCTGACAAATGAAACTTGGTTTTACTTATTTATGGTAGTTCTTTATAGTAGAATTCTAAATGTCCAGTGACAGATTTTATAAAATAAAAATGGAGCTCCAAAAATCTATCTCTGCTAAAAAACAGAAATGGAGAAGCATGCTATTTGAGTATATAAATTACAGTGGGTAAGTTGCTCCAATAGATCTCTTTATTCCTTTCTTCTGATACTTAACGTAAAATCTGACTTACTATGATAATTTCTTTACTTGAAAAATTTACAATAGTAAGCTATATGTACCTTCCCTCTGCTCTTCATTCTCTCCCTATGTTACATTTAGCAGAATATAAGCAGACGAGTAATATTTCATAACTATCAATTCATTCATAACCTCCAAAAGGAGGAAACTTGCTAAATCTCAGTGGATGATCTTAAAGCTTAATTCTGCCTCAACACAACTGTATTTAATACAAATCTGGCATTTATCTACATGGTAAAGAAGTTCCAGCACTTAAACTCGGAACAAAGCTAAAAGTTAAAATACATGGAAGTAGACTTTAGAGGGTCCTTCTTCTGAGATAAGTACGTAAAACTTTACAATATGCAAGCAAGCAAAACTGAAAAGAGCAGTATTTTCAGTATGTTTTTCTGACCTTAAGTTTTCAGAGGCAAAGTAGTATGTAATTTCTGTGCATTAAGTTTCCTGTTTGGGACTTTTTTCTTTAATCCAAGAACTCCATTATCTCACTTGTGGCAGAGAATTTCTTGGTTTTGCCATACATCAAAAAGTTTGTACTATTAGTACAAATTTGTAAGACAAACTCTTGAAAGCTGCATTGGCAATGCTTATATTCAATTCCTTAAATTATCTGCACATGAATTTTATATGAATGATTTGTGTATGTTGGATGAAATTTTAAACTGATTTTTAAAATATTTTGTTCTAAATCCCAAGGATGAAAGGGTATAAATGGTTCTCTGCCATCCTTCTGCCCTCCTGACCCTGTGTTGACCTACAGTGGACTGAAAAGAACTGCAGAATTATCTTTCTAAATGACATACAACTATAACAGTGTGCTCCAGTCACCATCCTTTTCTATGCTACCACATTGTCCTAGATTGTCAACAGTTTTACTTCCCAAAAGATGATGTATTCTACGCCTTGTTGTTTTGGCCCAGTGAAGTTGCAGGCATATATGTTTTTTGCACAAGCCTGGCCTTTTAACCCAGTAAAACAGGGATAAGAGTAACATATGAGGATCTCTCTCTTGGCCTTCCCTGACTGTGTCTGCAGGTTCTTACCATAACCCTGCTGTTGTCCTGGATAGCCTTGTTGGCCTGGATATTGCTGCTGTTGTGGTGGATAACCCTGCTGTTGGGGTGGTCCTTGATATGCATCTTGCTGCTGACCATATTGCGAGCTCCCTGTAAGATGATTGCAAGAACGCAAAATCTTAAAGATACCTACTTTATCAATTTGTTTTCCTTCTAAGATGCACAGCCAACAACACAAGAACAAAATGAAAATGCAATACTGATTTCAAAAACCGAACAAAACAAAGAAAACTCAAACCAAACAGAAGAAATTCGGCCAAACAAACTGCAGTTAAAGCCAATTTTGCAAAGTTGAACTGCAGCGTTTTCAGCATCTCTGCCAAACGAGCATTACATTTACTGGAACATCACAGTCATAAGATCATGACTATGCTAAACAAAATAAAAAAAAAAAAGACAAAATTAAGGACAGCTACAAGAGCACAGACTAGCTACACAAGATCAGCAAGCTATTTCCTAACGGCACTATTATTATACAAAATATATACACACACAAAAAGATATACAACTGAACCAACAAATTTATGTTTAAATAAAAATTTCCAATGAGGTAAAAAAAAAAGTCTCTAGAGTGTTTTAGTCATTTTACTGTTGTTAGAAATGGCAAATTGTGGTTATATATTTTAGGTGTTTGCAAGAAATTATTCCGAATGCTTCAGGTTCCCTGCAATTTTTTCAAGACAGCCAGCAACTAGTATTCTACAAGAGCTTTGCATGGGTATAAGTGGTGTTGTGCAACAATTCTTGTTCCCGTTGCGGGTGGGAGAGGAAAGGGAATGTATGTGCGTATGTGTGTGAAGGTATATAGATACCTCCTTCGTAGTAATGTTGTGAGGAATCCTCATAAGGCCTATCGTAGCCTTGTTCAGGATACGACGGTTGCTGATAACCGTAATCATTATGACCTACATCAATTCGACAAGAGACAGGAAGAAACGTTAATGGCCTCTGAGTGAAAACCCTAAAAGTATTTCATTTCTCAGAAAAATGAAAAAAAAAAAAAAATGTCAACTGGATATACATGAAAAAGAATTTTTCAATTGTATTAGCCAAAGACTTATTAATATGATTTCCTTTCATATTGAATTAACATGTGACAGGAAAAAAAAAGAAAAAAAGCTTAATGAAGTAGTTTCAGCAACATCACAGCAATGGATGGTCTTAACCTTCTGATAATGCTTGTTGGGGGGAGGGAGGAAAAAAATTTATCTTTCACTCAAAAAAAAAAAAAGAATTTAGGCCTTTCACATGTAAATAACCTGAATTAAATTAGAATGAACAAAGAAAGCAATTATCATACTTTGTCTAACACCTGTTCAGCTGATCTCCAATTCAGAAGCATATGCTAAAAGCAGTGTGAAGTATAACAAGAAAAGCTCAATGAAGTTATGAACCGAACTCTACATTGAATTACACATTTAAGTGAAGGAAAAACAACAATTCAAGTTTTCCCTATAAACAGAATTACTACAAGTCTTAAGAAAACTTTTCCCCTTACATTCCAGTCCTGAATAGGGTCATTACCAACAAACCTTCCCTTTCAGAGACTACAGTCATCTCTGATTAAGAAGCCAGTATATGCAGTCATCATCCCACCTGTTGTTTAGAACAAATATATTCTGCCTTGCAGATGACCAAAATATATCTTATCGCTAACTTGGCCAAGAAAACAAGCTAATATTTTGTTTAAATTTGAAGTTCAATTATACAAATTAAGTTTGGAATAAAATAAGGAAAGAAGAAAACAGTTATAAAACTAAGCAGTCTTAGTTAATAATTCTGCAACTGTACCATACATCATGGACTGAACTGAATATAAACGCATAACCATTAAAACAAGCCTTATAAAATATTCTCTTTATGATATAAGATTAATAATGAGGTAATGATGAAGAAAGAATCTTAAGAAGGAATAGGTCCTTAGAGAAGAAATCTGTGCTACCAGAGATCTGTTGACGGTAAGAGAATTGCCCTTATTACAGTAAAATGCCTGTGACCATTTAAAGTTCATGTGCATAACAGCAAAGTTCCAAAATGAAAGTTAATGCAACTCATAAGGTAACTCCATATATATCTTCAAAAGATTACGTATGTAAGCTTATATAGGCATGGTTTGATGTATCTTAAAATCAATTTAATAGAAATTCAAAATCAAACAACTAACTTGTATCCTTTTCCTTGCAATTAATGAGTAGCTGCTTTAGTAATTATCAATCTTTGTTTTGTATACATTTTTTAAAATGTTAACAGCTACCACATTCCTTGAATTTCATAAGATACCATTAAGTTGCACACACAGTTATCATACGAGCCATGAGTCAGCATCTTTGTTCTCCAATTCTCTGCTCAGCCTAAAAACAGGTTCATTGCAACTTTTCTAACTTACAGAACAATCCAACAGCCTTCAGCGTTCTGAATTCCAAGAGACAGAAGGACAGATTTATGCAATTCAAAGTCACAGTTTTGTCTTGAACACACTGGGGCGACTTCTGAAGAGGATCCACAATTACAAGCTCCTCAGGCAGGGACCATTTTATTCTGTTGTACAAGTTAAGCTCAAGGCCCATACCGTCCATAGCACCAAGAATACATTTGTGCGACTTATATTAAAACTAAGCACTAAGTTGAAAAGTGGAATATTTACAGAAAAACCACATATTTTTAACAAGTTTTTCCACTTCAATAAAATTTTTAATAACAAGACATCGCCCCGTCTCTCTTATTTATAATAAAAGTAATAACTGTTTTTATTAATCTCAATTATACTAGGTAGGCTAAGCAACCCTCCATACTTTTAGATTAACCAATTACAGAATTTTCATTTTTAAATACTAAAGCTGTTGTTAAAGAGTTTCAAATGGGACTACTAGAAATTACATAGTTTAAGTACGTTATAAAATTAACTAGTCATAGTAACTTCAACTGTAGTAACAGTTTGGAAGGTTTTGTAAATGTGAGGTATGATATCCAATTACTCTTCTTGCCCCATTCCCTTATTTTGGGCATATGACTACATTAATATTGGGCAGGTATAGAAAATGGGAAAGTTAACATTTATGAGAGATTACCATCAGGGTAATATTGCTGGTTCATGCCTTCTGGAGGACCTTGTCCACCATGACTGTATTGGTCCCCATAATAGTCTTCCTGGCCTGAGTACTGCTGTGGTGGGCCTGAAAAACCACAACCAGTCAATACGTAAATAACTTGTTTTCTCTATTATAAAGCCTGCTAATTTCTGATTTTAGTATGAGAAATATTTCTCAAATGTACTCCCCACCCATATCGTTGCATTTCAGATAACACATGTAATCTGGTTTACTTAAGAAAAAAAAAGAAAATCTCTCCATATATACACACACACAAGTTGTTTGGCTGCACTAGATTGAGCACACATATACCAAACTTCAGTTTTAAGCTCATTTTAGGAACAGGCATATAACAGACTAAGGTTTTAAGTTCCTCCTTTTCTAAAAGGACTGAAATTTTTTTAAAAAAAAGAAAAAAAAGAAGCAAGATTGTGGAACACTGTTCCTTTTTTCTAACTGAATAAATTCAGAACCAAGCTGGTACTTTGTTCCTTTTGTATACCTATCACTTAAATATCAAAGCAGAATTCTGCATCAGCATATTTGAGATGCATATTTTTAGATGCTTTTTGTCAGAAAGAACTCAAAACAAAAAGCTACTTGGTTTCATGTTTCATGGTGATACCAGTAATCTGTTGCTGCAAGAAACACTCTTAAGATGGTAACAAAAAGAGTCTGCAAACAAAGCCTGTGACACCCAATGATTTGATTGAAATTTGGGTGTATGCAAGGAAACAATTTTAAATAGTTTTAAAGATGGTTATTTAAAATTAATGCAAAAACACTGAAGTGAAGTCCTACCTTGCTGTGGTGGCCTGTATGGAGGAATCTGTCTCTGACCCATCATGTGATTCCCTTGGTTAACTTGGCCCATCATTCCCATAGGTGGCTGCTGCCCTTGGTAATGCTGGCCACCTGCTTGTGGCATGTTGTATTGTTGGGAGGGAGGTTGCTGGTGCATCATTGGACCTGGTAAAGGAAAAGTAGAAAACAAGTCTTCTGTAACATGATTTGTGATTAAATCTTTCAAGAAGAAAATTAAAAATGCAACCTGTAAAAATAGACTCTCTACTTCTAGTGCTCTCCTTAGGATTAGTTGTTTCTAGACCTATGCAACTGAAGACAACTAATTTAGTAGCCAAGTTGCAAAACAGAACTCAGCCTAAAAAAGGCCGCTTTCCCGTTGTTTTTTCTTCAAACTACAGAGACATTACTTTTCACTCATGCTCAAAGATAACCCAAATGCTTTAAGCATTTTTGTTTGTTGTTTGAAAAAGCATCTGCAAAGAAATTGTAAATGAAAACCTGACAGTGAAAACTTGGTAAGTCATGGAAAAATTATTTAACATTGTGAACTCCTCGGGGCATAGTTTTAATACAAATGTAGTTGTTGCTACAGGCCACCAATGAGTCACTTAGCTATTACAGAATCATAGAATGGTTTGGGCTGGAAGAGACCTACCACAAAATAAACAATTGTATTTAGCCTGTAAAGATAAACCCGACATATCAGTGAGTCAGGCAATCATACAACAGGGGCATACAGAAAAGCTCACAGGAATACATGCTCTGCCCATCACTGAACAGTTCTAAGCAGCCTGTAACAAAAATTCTTTCATACCAAACTGCACCAAGTTTCTATGAGACACAAGAAGAGACCAGGAGAGATCAAGTACTGTCCATATTTTATCAATTGAGAAAATCTTAAGGCTGAACTTGGAGAACTGCGAAGTTCAGTAGAGAAAATGTTAAAGAGCACCCAGACACCATACAGCAATGAAAATTATGTCATTTCATTGTGTAAGATTGCAAGTTGATATAACTTCTTAACAAAGAACAGCTTCTTCACTTCCTCTGTAGTACCACTTCTGAAGAGTTATTCTAGTATTTTAAATATGCAAAGGAAAGAGTTATGATAAGCAGCTAAATTTCTTAAACAACGTATTTTTATAATACATTAATTCAAACCACTTAACACAAAGTAGACTTCGTAATGGTGAAACCCTAAGCAGTTTTTGCCTTTTTTACTAAAATAATCAAAACAAACTTGCACAGCCATTCCTTATCTCCACATCCCAAAAGAAAAGACAGTTTTCTCCATGCTAGATTTTACCATTGCATTTAGCATTTTAAAATAATTAGGTGCTAGAGCACAAGCGGACGGTCTTACACAGAAACCACAAAACTGGGAAATTACCTAAATACAGTCAATACTGGCAATAGATTTATGCAAGGAAAGGAATACGTAGTCAATTAGATCCTCTCTACGTGGGGTTAGAAGAGAAAGTTAAGTCAAATTAATTAATGATATGAATTCAAAGTGCATTAGTTAAATCCCATTAAACCCCTGTGTGGAATTTCTCATTGAGAAGTGGCCTTAGTTCTGTTAAGCTTCATTTTTCTCTGAAGATAAATATTGGCCATTCTTAAAAATTATCCAGTTATGTTTTTATCCTTTTGCACTGCAGTTTCTGTGTCCTGATTTTAAAGTAAAAAAAGACCCTTAAACTAAGATTCTGTAATTTTTTTTCATGCAGTAAAAATTATTTTATTTTTTGATCTTCAGAATAAGATAATTAGACTTCATGCTTATCTGTTTACAGGTACAAAGAAACATTAGGCAGCCTTGGAAAAAACAAAACAAAAACTTGTTGCCATAATATTCCTAGATCTCAAGAAAGCTTGTTAATTAACAATATTAACATTAGTCACAATACAATGTGATAAAATGTGTTAGGTCCCTATGGTGCAATGTAGAGGTTTTCTGTTTGCTTTTTAAATTAGAACTTCATTAACGCTCTTAGAGCCACAATGAGAATTCACTACCCTGTACCAGACTGTGTATTGTGTTAATAACAGTGCCTGGCTTGCTTCCAGTTTGGTTCACATCTCTCTTATTAAGAAGATATGTAGAAGAACAACTATGGTCTCTACCATCTCATGCAACAACTATTTTTTGCAGTAGTTTTGAGGGTTGAGAGAATTTTAAGTGTCTTGTGAAAAATCAAGCCTACAATAAAGCCACATTTATTCATCATATAATACTTAATATGACATAAACCTAAGCTAGAAAACCCCTTCAAGGAACTTCAGTATAAAAAAAAAATTAGTTTGGGATCTAAGACTTTCTTAATATTTGTAGTGCATATTTTTACAGCCTACTTAAAACATAGCTCTTGAATCTCCAATCAGGTCACAACAAACTACATTCAGTGGAAGTCATGATCTCTTCCAGACTTGGCAAGAAGACTCATTTTTAGTCTCTCATTAACAGCCTTTTCTCTGTTTTGAACCTTTCTGTGATCTAATCATCAAACTGATCAGTTAAGACCTGGTCTGTGTGTACACACCTCAGGAACAAAATGGTATCTACCTAACGAACTGGAGCTTTGGTCTTCAACAGGAGTATACTGCAATAAAAAATACCTAATTTCTCTTCAGTGACCAGGAAAGGAGCCTTAGGAAAAGAAAAAAACATTCTCCTACAACATCAGAAAAGAGATAAATGAATCAACTTATTCTTCAGCTAATACATCCATAATGGTTCATCCATATTGAGGAAAAAAAATCCTGTTCTTGCTGCAAATGTAGCAGAAATATTTATTTTTTTTTTAATTCTGCAATGTGTCTTCTAGCAGGTGGTATGACCAGATGCAATTTTTGTAAGCTTATATAAAAAAACCTGCCATTAAAAAACATCTCAGAACCAGATTCAACCATTGGTCATCTGCAAATGAGAAAGTCAACATGATATTCTCATGTAGAGTTTGCCTGTTAGAAGGAAACTAGCTCTCTTCCCTCACCCCAAGCAACATATAATGCTCACTAAATACAGCCTGTGGAGTTTGGTAACTTTGAAGCACCTCTGGAAAGGGGACGGAATCCTAGCAAAAGATCTGAGAAACAAAACTTCTGAGATGGCCAAGTCATAATTTCTTGGTCCTTAAAGTATTTTAATTTTACTTTTTATTATTATTATCTGACAGTGACAGATCTTCAGATTTCAGAAAATCATGCTTACACCTCCCATCTGAACACTCGAATTTGTCAAGACTTGAAATATTTCATCCAACATAAGTAGTTTCTCCTACAAATAAAGGAAATGCACCTATAGAAAGGAATTTCTTTCACATTCACTCAGCTCTTGCTACTTACCTTTTCCAAAAAGATAGCCAGTATTCCTTGTGCATGTAACAACTGTTATAACTAAGTCATCTCCAGAATCTTCCAACATTCTGCTTCCTAATTCCAAAATGACTAAAATTCTTTTAACTGGACTGACTATATAGAAACAATACTGTGAAAATTTTACTTCTCATTTAAGACCTTCCTCCAGCTAGCATTTGATACGTTAGCAAAAATTACAAAGACAGGAAAAAAAAAATCCAACAGTGGATTTGTTACTACGCATTTCATTTCTTAATTAGCACTTTAAATTTTTCTCACTAACACCATCTGCCTCAAAACATGTATATACAGCAAAATATATTTTGCTATAAAAAAGTGCATAAAAGTTATTCTAAAGCCACCCTAAAGTTAAATCAAATCTTTCTGCATGATATGGCGTGTTTATCTATTACATGATAGCATGTTTTTTTCTGCAAGTACTGATCTCATTCAGTACACATATTACTCACTAAAAAGCTACTTCAGTATTTTGTTTCCCCCTAACTGTTTGTGTGAGATGCCACACCTAGTCAAACGCTGAAGACAGAACTATTAAATTACTCATGGCTTTTCTTATGGCACTCATAACAAAAATGTCCACATCTTCATAATGAACACTTTCACAACACTCCTGTGAAGTCAGATGGTATTATAATCTTACCATCATACTCATTCTGCTACAGACAGGGAACCCATGCAGGGAAAGGAATAAGGTTAAAAAAATCTACTAATTTTTAACAGCCAGCTTGAGTTGCCTTGAAGACCTTATCCTGCAGAATATTTAGCATTATGTTTAGCTAGGGCTGTTATTAACTGACAGATATAGCAGGATCTTTCATTCTTAATACAAATCGCCCCTTTATAGGAAACAAAACATGCTTAGAGTTTCAAATATGTTTCATGACAACATTACTGAACAGTTCAGAAAATTCTGGGTTTTTCCTGTTTCTGAATGGCAGCACATGCTACCAATTAAGAAATCTTCAAGTTACAAACTGTTTATTCATATCTTGTTAAGCTGCATTTGCTAGCAGCTCATTTCTTGCTTCTTCCCTTAGGTGACAAGCCTGCAGTGTCTGTGTTTGCCTGTCTCTGCCCAGCCACACTGGATCTTGGCTACCTATCTGTATCTGTCATGATCTCACAGATTCCTCTGCCATTCTCTCCCCTGCTGTCTTTGAGTCACAAGACAGTGAATATACATAAATATTTCCCCCAGTTTGTCACCAAATCTCAATACAAATGCAGTCACTAAGAGTAAAGAATGGGGGAAATTTATTAAGTAGACCCGTCTGGGAATAAACTTAGACCAAAAACCTCCATTACATAACAAACATGAACCAACTTAAAAGTCTTCTTCCCCCACATATATTTAACTAATTTGGGACAATACTTCATTAGAACAGCAAATAGCACCTTGTTGGCATAACAGACAAATTTCAAAGCCTTGCTCTACAGCAAGGGGCATCTGCACTCCTACATGTACATATGAAATGCACTGTTTAGTCATGTTTTTGTGAGACTTTGAAATATTTTAAAGAATGCAATTTTTTACCCAACTGTCAGAAATGGCTCTCTACTTCTGTGAAAACTTCCACCAAAAAAAACAACCCCAAACATTTGGAACAGAAAAGCCTCAGCCTAAAGGGTCAAAATTTGGCAAAATTAGGATTACACAATGTTAAAGTTTACTGTGGCCTTAAGTGCAAGTAAAGGTACCACTCTTGTTCTAACTAGAGATTTATCTGTTCTTGAACATGTGATTTGGTTAGCTTTTATTATTTCTTCACCGAGGCCACTTCAGTACTATTATTTGTTCAGATTAGAAACCTTTGAAGTATCTTTCTGCCTATTTCTCATGAGCAATTTTCAAGTTTGACAGAGTACTGAAATTACAGCAGGAGAATGAGGAAGAGTAAAGAATACTACTTTGAGATTGAATAATCCCTAGTCCTAAACTGTAAGCCAGTCATACTTACTAAATTGTTTTCTGTAGACTGACTTAGTGGATGGCTCCCCCACATACACTGTTGCATAGTTACTGCTAACTCTGTGCAACTACGAAATTTCAACAGAGCATGTACAGGACTTTTCTCAAACATCTTACATTGTTTACAAAATTACTCCACTGTGTATTGCCCAAAATACACAGATAACTTGCCAGTTCAGAGAGACAATAAAAATATTCCCACTTGAGATGGTTTTCTCTGCTATGTACCTGTCTTTGTTTCCTCAGCTGTTAGATGTTAAGAAAAATGCCATTAACAATGTGGACAATGAAGGACACAGACTTCCCACTTTCAGTACTGGTAAAAAAACTGCAGGAACAGCTGTTTCTTGACTCATTTTTAGTCTCTCATTAACAGCCTTTTCTCTGTTTTGAACCTTTCTGTGATCTAATAATCAAACTGATCAGTTAAGACCTGGTTTGTGTGTACACCTCAGGAACAAAATGGTATCTACCTAACGAACTGGAGCTTTGGTCTTCAACAGGAGTATACTGCAATAAAAAATACCTAATTTCTCTTCAGTGACCAGGAAAGGAGCCTTAGGAAAAGAAAAAAACATTCTCCTACAACATCAGAAAAGAGATAAATGAATCAACTTATTCTTCAGCTAATACATCCATAATGGTTCATCCATATTGAGGAAAAAAAATCCTGTTCTTGCTGCAAATGTAGCAGAAACTTTTTTTTTTTTTAATTCTGCAGTATGTCTTCTAGCAGGTGGTATGACCAGATGCAATGTTCTAACAAAACTTAACAGGTAAACTGAAAATAATGCTCGCTGACTTGTAAAGTGCATTTATGTGTGCAGTATATATACAATTTAATAATTTGGTCTGTTGTGACTCTAAAGCAGTACTTTAATTCTGCAATATACTTGCACTTCGTCAAGGATCATACCATCACCAGCACACATCATCTGTTTATGCCATGCAATTATCGTAGATACAAAATTAGTTTTTAATTTTACAGATCTGTTCCTGGAACGGAATTTTATTTCTTTAAGATTAGCAGACATTCCATATTAAAACAGCATGCAGAAGAGAACAAAGATTAACTAGGTACAAAAATCCAAGTGCTACCTGACTTTAATTTTTTCACTTTACACAAAAGACTGAAAAGTAAAGATGTAGTTTATCAAGTCAAGCAACAATAACACTTAGAGAGGTGTGTAAAGTCTGAAAGAGATAAACAGTTGTTCAAGTTTGTAACTGATGAAAGCAGATCCATACCCAGATTCTCACGCAACACCTGAAAACAGGTCAATGTCTGCAAATAATTAAAAGTTAAACATGGGAGAAAGGAGATAGGGAGTCCTTCAACCATGGGTACAACTGCATTTAGAGACTGAAATCTACAAGATACGACCTTTAAAAGAAGTCTGTACCTCAGATATCTCCTTCTGACAGAAGTTCACAAGTACCTCACTTACCTTGGTTTGGCTGCATGTTCATGTTTGGTCTGGGACCATAGTTGCCCATTGGCTGTCCCTGGCTCATAGTCATCTGATTCTGCACTGGCATACTCTGTGAGGATGGCACTGAATGATTATAGCCGCCCATTGACCCATGGCTACTTGAAGGCATGTTCATGGAACTGTTTGTCATATTGAGTTGGTTAGGTCCAGGTCCTTGCATAGGCATATGGTTAGGTCCTTCAGAAAAAAAAAAAAAAAGAAGAGGAAAAGGTTCTATATTAAGTATCATACAACAAGCAAATATAGCCATATTGAATCACAAAACTAAATAAAAGTCATTGAATTTAATAATATTTTAATGCTAAAACAAAGCTAAAATAGTGCTTGCTCATGATTTCCCAACTTTGAAAACAAAATTTTAAAGTTCAGCTCTACTACACAACACATTTTCTTTTGTTGCACAGCTGAACCTACTAAAAAAGGTATAAATTATCATATAGCTCACCTTATATCCATATCGTATGCGAAACTAGTCTTTTTAGTACTTGCACAACACACTCTGAATTATAACCAGGATTGCACAAGATCAGTTTAACAGCCAGCTTGGTAGCTTTATCACAGCCATCTAATTGTTATAATACCTGTAACATTTCTGTTTTTTCAAACAAACCATAGTAGACAATTTTCTGAAAGTAACAGGTTGGGTTTTTTAATTATTTTTTTTCATAGCCGGGAAGTATTAGCATTGACTTGGTACATATACGAGTAGAATGAAAATAGCTTAGGGCATATTTAACATTATTTGAAAGTATAATCTGCAAACATTCTGCAAATGTATTACAGATTACTAGGGAAGGAGATGATGACTGGAAGAACAGCTATCCAGTTACCAGCTCATGTCTCACGCTTACAAAAATGCAAAGATGTTCATATATCCATGAAGCCAACTACATCCTTTATTTCCCTTCTTCCAGACAACATTTGTTGGAATTGGATTGTTCTCTGAATTAAATCTACCCTCAATGGGTAATTTAAAAAGTATAAACACTACAGTACTATCTCATCAGTTTACTCATTACTTTGGCTGGGTTAAGTGAGCAGTGACTAGAAATAAAATTAGTAACAAGTGCAACTAGTTATAAATATGACAAGTGAAAAAAGAAATAAAATGCAAGCATTACGCATATGACAAGCACCACATCAAAAGTTTACAAAAGATTCCTACAACCAGAGCATGTGACAGAACAGGTGAAGTGTAGACAATGCAAGTATAGACAAATACAGAGTTCACCAAAAAGATGCCATTGTTGCCAAACCTGCCACAGGTTTTTCTTGTTAAGCTACAAAAACACCTAAGAAATACAGAAAACTTAATGGAGGGCCCTAAAGAAACCATGCCGGTAGAATTGTAGGAGCATAGTGTTTTGGCTACACGTCTCTCTATTTATAAAAAAAATACTGCTATGTGCCTTTAGCTGTAAACTGCTCCCAAGTCATCTCTTGGCTAAAGAAATAACTGCATTAATCAAGGACAGAATGAACGCAAAAATAAGGACTTAAGAGTTGTACACAAGGTCACAGAGGCAATACCAAATGACCTGCAAACAAAAAGATGCAGAAGAAAAAGATAATCAAGGAACACAACTATTAAAAGCTAGCATGAAGAAACAGAATACATTGAGAGTGTTTTTCCTCTTGCCCTTCTCAAGACATCTTAATGAAAAGAACACACAAGCTTATTTTATCTAGGAAAGAGAAAAATATGAAAGAGGTATATGCACAGTTCACTGTTCCTGCAAAATAAGGTGAGCAAAGACAGCTTAATTGTACAAAGACAGGTCCACTACAGAAAAAATAACTCTGAATAGAATTATGACCCTGACAGAGAACTACAGATGCCTATGTAGTCCCCTCTTCAATTCAACACTGCCTAACTCTGTAGTAGTGAGAACAAGGAGACAGTTTAATTCTGAAAAAGTGAGATCCTCTCTAACCATGTGATCAATGTGCAAAGGTGAAAAAAAAGCTCCAGACTGTACTGTCAAAGCAACAGCTTCACGGCTGCTAGAAGGATACTTTCTTAACCTCTGAAAAAAAAGGGATACACAAGCTTACTTAAAGTCAGGGACTGGGAGTGGTTTTGTTCCTTTCTGTTCAAAGAAATTGTCAAGAACAGATTTCAGAGCACTAGCCGAGCACACTAGAACAATTTTTTTAGAACTGGCAATGCAAGAAGCAAAATAGGGAAGGCAAAAATCATCACAAGAGAGAAACTGTTGAAAAAATAAAACATTTTCTCTAAACAGCTTGCCTGCACTTCACGTTTCAAGTAGCACCAAAAGAGGAGAAAGTGCTCGTAAGAAAAAGCTGGCACCTGAAATGTCAGGAATGTGTTTGTTATCAGGTAATTTAGTCATAAGCTAGAAGATAAGGACAGAGTACAGTATCAAAAAACCTTGCAAATGAAAAATAGTAAAAATACACTATTTTTTATATAGTTTGGCAAAACACTTCAAGGCATTCCCCTGCACATAAGGACACACTAGCTGATTTTTTTTTTCTCATTTGAATAAAGGAAATAGGAAGAATGGAATACAAATTAAATATGAACAAGTGAGACAAAGTGTGTATCTGCCATTAAAGTTACAGCTTTAAATGCTATACTAATTAGATTCTGTCTTAAAAAAAGCTATGGGAATAAGTGTCTATCCTGACAATAAACAGAAGTCTCTTTTCCTCTTAACCATTTAGGAACAGTATCTTAGCTATGAGAAGCTGTAAGCCAGCCTAAGTGTATTTGAGACTACATTTGTAAGAAGGAAACAACTTTGAGAGAACTTGTTGGTAATACACAACCACCTGTTACTCAGAAGTTACCGACCTCATCAATGTTTACAAATATGTAAGGGGTGAGTGTCAGGGGGACGGAGTTAGGCTTTTCTCGGTGATGACCAGTGATAGGACAAGGGGTAATGGGTGTAAATTGGAGCATAGGAAGTTCAAGGTGAATATCCGAAAAAATTTTTTTACTGTGAGAGTGACAGAGCACTGGAACAGACTGCCCAGGGAGGTTGTGGAGTCTCCTTCACTGGAGACATTCAAAACCCACCTGGATGAGTTCCTGTGTGATGTACTCTAGGTGACCCTGCTCTGGCAGGGGGGTTGGACCAGATGATCTCTCGAGGTCCCTTCCAGCCCCTAAGATTCTATGATTCTATGATTCTATGACCAGTGCCTGGTCAAAGGTCAGAGACCCTTACAGCTGATCTTGCCTTTGAACTTTCTACATATGATTAAACTAGCTCAAGAAACTGGGAAGATAACTTGCTACCCAGTTCATCATCTCCTTCCAAATCAAGATCACCCTTAATTTGCATCACACAAACTCTCAATGTTATCACTTCAGAGAATTTTTTTCAGGGAAAACTTGTAATCTGTCACAGGTACAGTTTCAACATAGGCTGAAAAAGGCTCATCATGACTTGTCTTCTCTGGGAAGAGGACACACTCATTTATCAGGGGATGCAATTAAGGGCTTCAGCAGCACTTCAGGCCTTTCATTAAACAGAACACAAGAATGAGAAAAAACATCCTTTGCCCTTTAAGTAATGGGACTGGTCTACAGCAGAACTTCAAATCAACTCCTGTCCTGAGCATCACTAGGCAGTTCTTTTAATCGTCCCATCAACCCTTTCACCCATCCTCAGTGCTGTGGAAGCCCTTACTAAGACAAGGTCTTCCAGAAAGTCTTAGCTAGTATTTTCAAGAGTCTGCGTTTTACTTCTTCCAGGCTGGTCAACTTGTGGTTGTCAACCCTGAATTTTCTCTGCACATCAGCACTTTATTCCTTTTGGACAGATTATCTCTTCAGATATTCAAGATCTTGTATCTGGCTTCTATTACAAACTGTCTATGTAACATTAAAGTACCCTATAAACAGAAAGCAAACGCATGCACTGCAGAAAGTATTATAAACACATGGCCTTGAAATACAGAAAGGTTTACAGACAGGTAAACTAGCATAGGCTTTAAAAAAAATCGTCCACTTAAGATAATTGTTTCCCCTTTTCTAACATCTAACTATGAAATTATTTTAGCATGTCTTCTGATATTAGAGGTGCACTCATCCTAAGCTGTTTATCTTCCCATCCTCAGAGAAAACCTTAGTCAAGGGAAGGAACATTCAAAAAAGGGAGTATGTTAGAAGAAAGGCTAAATTAAAGCTTAGTTGGAAATCATATTTAAGTATCTGTCTAGGTGAATACCAAAACAAACCCATTTACTTTTTACATATTTCCCTAAGAGCTCTTTTCTTATTCTACCTAATTACAAAATATGTATGTTTAAGGAGTGACTTTTTTCCCCCCGTGGCTCTGCAATGAAGTCATTATGCTTACATTGTGACTTAGTAATTCTTCTCCTCGGAAAAGATCATTACAATAACAATAATATGATTACACTAGAGGGTCAAAGAGACTGATCTGTGAGAGCCAATGCTATTCTCCATGGGAGCTGATGGATCTTAGATGGATAGAGGACTTCAAAACGAGAATCACTGCCCTACTTAGAGAGCAGCACATATCCCTCTTTCCACTTACAAATGCAGACCATGACCAACATGTACGATGAAACTAACTTCTTCTCTAGATCTTTTATTACACTTCTTATACATGGCCTCTGGAGGCTACTCAGCTGTTCTTCTCAGAAAAGCTGTCACTATCAGATTTGCACAGAAATTAGGGGCTACTGCAATAATTGTATTTCTTACTTTGTATTAAGTTTTGCATAGTTATTTACTGCGTTTGTCATCAAGAAGCTTATCCTTGTGACCATCAAGGTGTGAATTTGCAAAGATCCTTTGACAGCAGTTTCCTTGCTTGGAAAAATCAATACCTCGAAGAGCTTTTGCACAAAAAGTTCCTCCATACAAAAAAAAAAAAAAAGAAAAAAAAAAAGAAATTAATAAAAGCAATCCTGGGAATGCAATTTTAAGTTGAAAGCCAGTTCATGTGAAATAGGCAGTATGACTTTATAAGTGGAAATTCTGGAAAACAGCCTCTACATAAAGAAGTAAGCTTTTACAAGACCTACTCCATTCTCAACTGACTGCTAAACAGAATAGTTACTCCAAAGCTAGTACAGGTAGGCACAATGTGGAATTTTACCATCTTGTTCACTGTTTCTGACTTCCCAAGCACTTAGAAAACAGGGTTGATGGGGCTTTGAGCAACCTGGTCTAGTGCAAGGTGTCTTGCGGAGGGGTCAGAACTAGACGATCTTTAAGGTCCCATCCAACCCAAACCATTCTATGATTCTGTGAAAAACTGACTTAAAATTTACACCTTGAAGAATAACCTGGAGGCCATGTCTTTACAAATCCCTTACTACTCAACACATCTTCAATAATAAAGAACACAGAGGATTAGTGGAAGCTAGATGACTTTATGAATAAAAGTAATCTTTTTTAAAAATAAAAAAAACATGTACCCACATTCAAAACATCCTCCAAGATGCACGTAGTTTACTATTGTCTAATTATTTAGTTACAATGATTTCACATTATCTTTTTATGAAAGGATTTGTGTTCACTCAGCCACAGGCCAATACCTTTCCCCAATAAGCCTTCTAAAGCCAGCTGTACTGCATGGTTTCAAACAGACTAAATTTAGCCAGTTCTGTTCATCAGAGGAATGCTGTGTGTCAGCTACATCAAAGCCCAAGGGCAGCCTGATAAACACTGAATACAGGTCACGTAGCTCTGTAGCTAACAAACTCTAAGAGAGCTTGTACTCGGGGGCATTCAAAGCAGTTTTGTCATCAACAATCTAGTATCCCTTGAGCCCCCATGTCGTTTCAGTTGCCAGGCAACGCTGGTGTTAATGTCTTAGAGGAGAAAAACTTACCAGGCATCTGGCCGTTCATCTGGTTCTGCATGTGTGGTGCAGGAGGGCCCCCACCTACCATACCATCTGAAGACATGTTGTGGGAGCGCGGAGGTGGGGGAGGGCCGCTCTGACTCATCCCACCCGGACCCATAGGCATATTCTGTGTGGGTGGCTGAAAGGAGACAGTTTAGTCAAACACAAGAAGCAGTTAGTCTGACAAATATATTGTATGTACATATGGTACAGCAGTTGCCTATATTGTTAAGCAGGGTATGAAAGAAAGCACTGAAACACATTTCTTGCTCTTTCTGATACAGTTGCCAAAATGAATACTGAGAGGAGTTAAAGTGTTTAATATTTCAATCAATTTTACATGAAGTACTACATGCAGACAACACTACAGCACCTTCAAGCACCACTATAAAAAAAAATACAAATCAATGTCTCATTAAAAAATTATATCTGAACAGTTTAAGATCACTGGAGTCGCTTCCTCCCCCACACAAAAGCTTTCCTTCAAAGCAACATTTGGTGAACAGAAAAATAACCCTACCATTATAATTCTCTCACATCAACAATTTGCTGCTGTTAACAGACCTAGCACCAGGACAAAACAGGTACAACAAGAGATGAAAGCCTCTGAATGCTCATAGAATAGCAAAAATTTGCACCTGGGTGTGGTAAAACGCTTGCGATCTCTTCCTCTCTCTCCCTTGAAGCACTGAAGGCCTAGTTCATAATTTCGTGCCAAACACCCCCTACAGACTGGAAGCACATTAGTGCTGGCCTCCAAAGGTCCAGAGACAGCTGCCTAGAAAGGATGTTTTTGGCAAATTTCCTAATGAAATTGTGAGGAAAATAACTGAATAACCTTGAGAGTTCAAAGAGGGAGAGCAAGAAAAACAGTAAACACAAGGGGGAACTTACTATTAGGTTCTACTCACTGCAATATAAGGAGATGCAGAAACTGCTAGTAGCCAGCTTCTTTTTCCTATTAAAAACACCTGCGAGACTGCACAATCCTCACATACCTTAGCCAAGTGCTTTCATGGGAATAAAAATCATCTCTGTGAAAGCAAATGCCTGGGTCTTGGGCTTTTGCAGACCCTCTCTAAAAGGTCCTAACTATTCATACTAAACCCTTTCCATGACATAACCCTGTGTTTTTCAACATTTCTCTTCATAAAAAGAAACATTTAACAGTAGAAAAGAGTAACGTTTTCCAAATGAGTTTAAGGCAAGACTCTTTTTTGGTCTTGGAGATGGCAACATCTGGGTAATAGACCCACATGCATGTACTCACTTCCAAGGGGAAAGGAAGAAATGGTATTAATTTGTATTCTCAACATTTCTTCAAATACCTTACAAGCAGGTATTATTTTCCCCAAAATATTTTTAAAAATTACTGAAAGGTTTTCTTTCAGCAG